TTACCACAATATAATTAATATCACATGCAAGTAAAATCTTACTGAAGATAATTCAAAAACAGTTGCAGCAATATATTGAGAGAGAACTTCCAGAAATGCAAGCTGGATTCAGAAGAGGATGTGGAATGAGGGATATCATTACTGATGTGAGAAGGATCTTGACTTAAAGCAGAGAATACCAGAAAGGTGTTTACTTGTGTGTTAATTGGCTGTGCTAAAGCATTTGATTGTGTGGATCATAACAAATAATGGGTAACATTGAGAGGAATGGGAATTCCAGAACACTTAATAGTACTTAGGAGGAACCTGCACATAGACCAGGAGACTGTCGTTCGAACAGAACAAAGGGACACTGCATGGTTTAAAATCAGGAAGGGAGTGTGTCAGGGTTGTATCCTTTCCCCATATTTACTTGGTCTGTATGCTGAGCAAATAATCCGTGAAGTTGGACTATATGAAGAAAAACATGGTATCAGGATTGGAGGAAGAATCATTAACAACTTGAGATATGCTGCTTATACAACTTTGCTTGCTGAAAGTGAGGATGATCTGAAGCACCTAATGATGAAGATTGAAGACTACAGTCTACAGTATGGATTACATCTCAATATAAAGAAAAAAATCTCCACAACTGGACCTATAAGCAACATCACAATAAGTGGAGAAAAGAGTGAAGTTGTCAAAGACTTCATATTGCTTGGTGTTAAAATCAATGCCAGTGGAAGCAGTAATCAGGACATCAGACGACGTACAGCTCTGGGCAAATTGGCTGCAGAGGACTTCTTCCAAGTGCTGAAAAGCAAAGATATCTCCTTGAGGACTGAGGTGCGCCTGACACAAGCCATGGTATTTTCAGTTGTTTCATATGCATGTGAGAGCTGGACAATGAATAAGGAAGTCCGAAGAAGAGTAGATGCTTTTGAGTTGTGGTGCTGGCGAAGAATGCTGAAAGTATTGTGGACTGCTAAAAGAACTAACAAATTTGTCCTGGAAGGAGTGGAGCTGGAGTGTTCCTTAGAAGCGATAATGGCCAGACTTTGTCTCATTTACTTTTTTTTTCCTAGAGACAGATGTCATGCTTGGTAAGGTGGTGGATTGATGAAAGAGGGGAAGGCTCTTAACGAGATAGATTGACACAGTGGGTGCGGCGATGGGCTCAAGGTATAGCAAGGATTGTGGAGCTGGTGCGGAACTGGGCAGTGTTTTGTTCTGCTGTGCATAGGGTTGCTATGAGTCGGAGATGACTCAACAGCAGTTAACAGCAACAACATATATTAAGAGTATTAACCCCATGTCAAAGTAATTGGCGGTTATTTTTTTCTCTCTCTCTCTCTCTCTTTTAGCTTATTTGTTCTTGATGTTCTGAAGTTTTTATTTTACTTTTAGAGAAGTGATTAGTGTCTGAGGTAAGTAGGATTTAGGATCAGTCCCAAACTCTCTATAAGGGAGTCTAGGCAGTATAATTTTCAGCTTTCTAACCTTTCTATGTCAGAAAGGGAATGAAGATTAAACGTTGAATGAGACAAACCATAATATCCTCTCTGAAGGATATTTTTGGAAGGCATTGCTATAGTGAGGAAGATTGTCAGGAATAGGAAGAACCAGTGGTTCTCCACAGTCTTCATTGGAACCATGCAGATTAAAATGATATGGAGAAATTAAGAAAAAAAATTGTGGTGTTCCATTCAAAACCATTTAAAGCAGAGTGTTGGGAGAGGGTCATCCTGGGGACAGGCCTTTCAAAGTTGTGGCAGTTTTGTGAAACCACAGTGGAAACCATTAGACTAAAGATAGTGAATTGAGCCATGTTGAGGCTCTGGATCAAGGTAGTGGGAGTAGGGGAAAAGATATCCAGGGGGTATGGGGTAGAATAGTAGAAGATTCTTTAGATGGAGTGAGTGACTTTGACTCCCTTTTGCTGGTCGTTCATTGTGCATTTTTGAACAATTAACCTGTGAGAAGGTTAGAGTGGGAAAGATCAAGCAAATGAAAAGCAAGTGCAGAAGAAGCAGATGATGCTCCCCAACAATTTATGAGTGGAGTTTATTGAAAGAAATGAGGAAATAGGGATTTGTGTGTGTGTGTGTGTGTATGTAAGTTGTGGCAGAGGCCTCCAGGGGTATAACCTGGGTCAGTGGTCTTTGAAAGTTTTCTTAACAATAAAAGTTTAAAAAAAATAAATAAAAATTCTGAATGGATCCTCACTATCTAAGATACATCACAGCAGTGTCTGTAAGTGAATTGAGGATAGGTTCCAGAGCCTACTTGGCCTTTCTCTGCCTGCAGTTGGGCCTGTGAAGAATCACCGAGGGTCCATAGAACACAGATTCACAGCCAACAGCCTACTCTTTAAAGTGGCCATTCTAGGTGTTCTTGAAGTAGTCCAAGATGACTGGACTTGATAAAAGTTTGACCACCACACATTGTGTTCTGGCTGATTAATGAGAGAAGGCAAATAAGGGAAGTGATAGTCCAGGAGGGAAACACAAAATAGCTTTTGCTAAGATAGAGGAAAATCAGTTTTGGGATAGGAAAGCAACTCTGAAGCAGTGGATTTATTTAAGAGTTGATTCAAGTAGGAATTCCTGGATACTCGTGGGACCAAAGACACCTGCTCTGAGAGAAGTGCCATAAACCTGCAAGGCAGCATATCAAGGATTCCAGGCTGTGTTGAAGACCTAAGTAAGGAATTTATGCAAGAAACTTTCTTCAGAACCTTTAAAAATCCTATTCACAAAGATACTACCTTTGAAATTATACTCAGAACTCACCTTGAGTTTTTACCTTACCTTTATGGTTTCCTCACTTTGTTGTTGTTGTTACGTGCCATCGAGTTGGACCCAACTCATAGTGACCCCTCCTTGGGTTTCCAAGGCAGTATCTCTACGGAAGTAGATTGCCCAACCTTCCTTCTGAGGAGTGGCTGGTGGCTTTGAACCGCCAGCCTCCTGGTAAGCAGTTAGGTGCCTTAGGCACTATGCTACCAGAGCTGTTCTATTTCATTTTCTTTATTTACAGATGAAATAAGAGGAATAGCAAAGTTACAGGTTCTCACAACTAGGTAGTGACAGTAGCAAGACTAGTGAGCCTAGGCCATTAGCTGTGTTTCCTGAATATAGAAAAAGCCCTGGTTTTTTCACATAAGTAGCATGTCCTACATTGTGAACCAGAGTGGGCCACTCAGAAAGTGAGTGCCTGCCTCACAAGTGTTCTTAAACACTTAATGAAGGCCCCCACTGCTGGTAGACATCTGACAACAGGATTTTAACTATAATACTACATATATAATGTTTTTCATGTTATAAAATATTAGTGGCTTGGTTTAGTCTTACTACAGATTAAGAAATTAATAAAGATCATATTGCTTGAGAATTTCTTCAGATATCTAAACTGTGAAATTTGTTTTTTCCCAATACCTATTTGCTTATGGTACTGTTAGAACTCCTCAGTCAGAGACCGTTGCAATGACATTTACAGCTTGGGCTTATGACTGGCCACCATAAGTTGGAGAAACTTCAGCATATGAGGAAACAAGAAATGAAATTACAAATTTTAAATGGTGTGTTTCCTTTGAAAACCTTATGGAGGAGAGTTCTACTCTGACACACGTGAGGTCGCCACGAGTTGTAGTCAGTTTGATGACAACTGGTTAGTTTCTTAAAAAAAAAATATTAGCTTGTAAGTGAATACATAGTAATGTTGGGTATTTACTTGGATTTAGTGAAATGGTGTTAAATTATTAGAACACCTTTTGCTGCTCCCTGGTACTAGCAAAAACAGTCTTGAGCCCAGGCTAGATTTGAATGCTGATTTCTTCCATACTTGTTAGAGTAAAAGCATATGAATGGTACCACCTTCAGACTTTGTTGGAATAACAGGATGTAACACATGGTGTGATGAGCATTCTTATTACTGTTGTTAAGTATTAAGGTATGTGATTCGAATGTAGAATAAAATTGTCTTAAGTATTGGAGCTGTTAAAAAATAAACTTTATTGTGATTTGGGTGGACGTTTACAGAGCATATTTGTTTTCCATTCAGCAATTTACACACATTTTGTTTCATGACATTGATTGCAAGCCCCACATGTAACAGCTTTCTTCCCACTTCCTCCCTGTGATTACCTTTTCCCTGTATCCTCCTTTCCTATGCATTCCTGCCCTCTGAGCTTTCTTTGTGAGCAAATGCTGCCCTTCTGATCACCCGTGGTTGATTGTTAGAAGTGCACCTATTTGGTATAATTGTTCAGCTCATAGGCCTATCATTTTACTGAAGACCACAGTCTCTGGGTTTCACCATCTCTCCCAGACCAGTAAGCCTGGTCTTTTTTATGATTTTGAGTTTTGTACCACATTTTTCTTCCACCCAGTCCAAGATCTCCAATTTTGATCCCTTTTCAAGTAGTTGGCATTGATAGCCAGACACCTCTACATCTTCTGGTCTCAAGGTTGTGTAAATTGGTGTTCCTATGGTCCACAGGTCCTTTGGACTAATTTTTTCCATGCATCTTTGATTTCCTTCACTCTTTGCTCTGAAATAAGAGAGACCAATTTTTGCATCTTAGATGGTTGCTCACATGCTTCTAAGACCCTGGTTGCTATTCACCAAACTAGGAGGTAAAACAATGTTTTTGTGTAGTATGTTATGCCAGTTGAGCTTGATGTCAGTATTGGAGCTTTATGATTTCAGTTTATATGTGTGTATATGTTTTTATTTGCTATTCTGACAGTGGGTTTGTAACTGAGCTTCTGAAATTTTCCAGTTGTAGAAGACTGTAGGCATTTAATCACAGATTTTTTAAAAGACAGGATGATAATTGTGATCCTTGAAATTCTGAGGAAGGACATCTGTTCTAGCACACATAATGCTGTCAGGTCTAAGTTAATCAGTGGAGTTTGGATGAAAAAGATAAAAATAAGGGGACCTGTGGGAATTTCTGATTGTAAAATCATGTTACTATTTTCATGACATCAGATTGTCTTGTATTTGTTTCTCTTTAGCTGGTTTTCCCATGGGCTATGCAGCAGCAGCTCCTGCCTATTCTCCTAATATGTATCCTGGAGCAAATCCTACCTTCCAAACAGGTATGTAGGCTGGTTTGTACTGGCTAACAAAAATGCTTTGTGTATGCAGCTGTGGAGAGCATGTTGTGGGTAGGTTTTGAGAAACGTGCAGACTCCTAGGATGATGGGATTTAGTTACTGGGGCTGGATTTCATGGCTGCACTGCAGCAGTGGTAGCCCCACTCCAACTTAAGTGCTTGAGTTGGCCTCTCTGGGAAATGTCTTACTCTTTTGGAACTTTAGGACAGTTCATCCCTCAGAACACTTACATCTACTTTCAGACTGAAGAAGAGACAAATGTCCTTTTCCTGAATTCCTCCCGTTTTATTTAATCATAAAATTCTGCTTTCTGTAACCCTTATTTCTTCCTTTCCATTTTTACAATGACCACCACCTTTGTTCAGCACTTAGCTTGTACCCAGAGAAAAACTTCTTTCTGATTTATCCTACTCTAGGGCTGTCTCTCCTCAGGTTCTTGCTACCTACCCAGAGTAATCTTCAAAGTTTTCTAAATGGTTTCCCATTGACTAAGACAATTAAGTGAAGAGTATTGACTTTAAATCCCTAGATTTTTGTCATATTGTTCTCTCCTAAATGGTTTTTGTGTTCTTGCCTAGCTTTTGGAAGATCTGGTGGTGTAGTGCCTAAGGCATTTGACTGCTAACCAGAAGGCTAACAATTCAAACCCACTAGCTGGTCCTCGGAAGGAAGATTGGGCAATCTACTTCCATAGTGATACTGCCTCAGAAACCCAAGGGGGGGTCGCTGTGAGTCGGATCTGACTCAACAGCAGTGAGTTTGGTTTTCGGTTTTTGCCTAGCTTTTAGTCAAATGTTTTCTCTCCCACCCAGACTAGTACACACTGTTTTGTACCTGTCTGTAGGTATATATTATGCAACATCCCTTCTCTGAGAGGTTTTCTCATACCAATACTTATGCTGATACTCATTTGATCCTTTTTTTTTTTTAAATTCTGATTTGAAAGTTTACAGAGCAATTCATTTTCCATACAGCAGTTCACATACACTTTGTCTCATGACACTGACTGCAGTTTCCCATAATGCAATAGATCTTTTCCCACTTTGTCCTCATAGTTATCTCTTCTCTGTGTTCTTCCCTCCTATGCACTCCTGCCCCCCAAGCTATCTCCCTGTGCACACACAGCCCTTCTATTCTCCCACGATTGATATCTCCAAGGAGTGTATCTACCTAATGTAAATGTTAACCTCAAATGCCTGTCTTTGTTTGGCTGGAAGCCACAGGAGTGGGTTTAATTCCAAACCTGAAGGGCAGCTAAGGGCCTAGTCTCAGGGGTTCCACCAAGCTCTATCAAAACAGCAATCCTGGTCCCTCTTTTTTTTTTCTTAAATGATTTTGAGTTTTGTTCCACATTGTTCTCCCACTCTTCCCTAGGAGCTTCTACACAGATTCCCCTCCTAGTGGTTGACAATAGTAGCTGGGTACCATATAGTTCTTCTGGTGTCATAGTCATGTAGGCTGATGATCACATGGTATATCACATAGCAGTCCCTTGGACTAACAGTTTCCATGCATCTTTGGTTTTCTTCATTCTTCTTTGCTTTGAACGAGGAGAGACTCATCATTGTATCTATATGGCTGCTTATAAGCTGTTAAGATCCTAGTCGCTACTTGCAAAGTAGTATGTGGAACAGTGTGATGCCAGTTGAGCTTGATGTCTCCTGTAACCATGATCCCGAGCCTATCCTCACTCCCACTGGGTAGCTGGCTGTGGCTAAGAAATGACCACAACCTTGTTCCTTGTCAACTTTATTATATACCTGGAAATTCTTACAGAACATACACATACACTTGTAGAAGCATTGTCTGCCAACCTTATACATGGTTTTGAGCATACTCCCCACTGCATTGTTTGTTGTTGTTATGTGCTGTCGAGTTGGATTCAACTCATAGCGACGACTCCTTGGATTTCCGAGGCAGTATTACTACGGAAGTAGATTGCCCAACCTTCCGTCCAAGGCATGGCTGTTGGATTTGAGCCACCAGCCTTCTGGTTAGCAGTCAAGTGCCTTAGACACTATGCTACCAGAGCTCTTCCCCTCTGCATAGACATACGTAATAGTTCAGCTTGTTCACTCATCTATCCACCTGTATATCAGTGTTTGCCTTCACTGACAACGCAGTACTATATGTGCAAAAGAGTTCATCTTTGTGTCTGTACCTCCCATGCACCTCTCTCTGTCTTCCTGTTCCTCAGTGCCACCGTGTTGAACACTCATATTTGGTACATTGCCCTTCCCTGCACCCAAATCAATACTTACTTGTCTCTACCTATCTAGCAGTGTTCCTTCCCCTCTCTTCTCCCCTCTCCCATCCCTGGTAACCAACAAAGAAAATTTCCTTACATATATAAACCTTTCCTTGACTTTTTACAGTAACGGAATATTTGTCCTTCTGTGACTGACTTATTTCACTCAGCATAATGTCCTCAAGTTCACCCATGTTAAGTGGTGTTTTGCTGATTCTCCGTTAATTCTTTAGGGTTGCATAATATTCCATTGTGTGTATGTACCATAGTTTGGTTATCCATTCTTCTGTTGATGGCCACCTAGGTTGTTTCCATCTTTTGGCTATTGTAAATAGTGCTGTGATGAACATGGATGTGCATATGTCTGTTCTTGTCCTGGCTCTCAGTTCTTTAGGATATATATCTAGTACTGAAATGGCTGGGTCAAATGGTATTTCTAATTCCACCTTTTTAAGGAATTGCCATACTGCTTTCCACACTGGTTGTATCATTTTACAGTCCCACCAGCAGTGCACGAGAGTCCCAGTCTCTCTGCATCTTCGCCAGTATTTGTTATTTTTTGTCTTCTTGAGCTTTGCTACTAGTGCTGGGGCAAGATGGTGTCTCATTGTTGTTTTGATTTGAATCTCTCTAAGGCTAATGATTTTGAACGTTTCTTCATGTGTTTGTTGACCGCCTGGATAGCCTCTTTGTTGAAGTGTCTATTCATGTCTTCTGCCCATTTTTCAATTGGATTGTTTGTCTTTTTGTTGTTAGTGTGTTGGAGTTTTTTATAAATTTTAGAGATAGTCCCTTGTCAGGTATGTCATCGCTAAATGTTTTTCACACTCTGTAAGAAGCTTTTGGAAGCACATAAAATGTGAATTTTTAGAAGGTCCCATTAATCTAGTTTATCTTCTGCTGTTTGTGCATTTTGGGTTATGCTTGATAGTCTATTTGTGCCATATATTAGGGCACGTAAATTTGTCCCTAGTTTTTCTTTGAGGAACTTTATAGTTTCAGGTTTCACATTTAAGTCTTTGGTCCATCTTTAGTTTCTGTCTATGGTGTGTGGTGCAGATCTTTTTTCATTTTTTTGTAAATGGATATCCAGCTTTGCCAGCATCATTTGTTAAACAGACAGTGTCTTCCTTGTTTCATGGATTGCAGCCTTTTCTCAAAGATCAGCTGACCATAGGTAAGTGAATCTATTTCTGGGTTCTCAATTGTGTTCCATTGATCTGTGTCTATCGTAACAATACCAGGCAATTTTGAGTACTGTGGCTATATAGTAGGTTTTGAGATCCGGGAGTTTGAGGCCTCCTAGTTTGTTGTTTTTTTTCAGTGGTGCTTTGCTTATCCGTGGTCTCTTTCCTTTCCATGTAAAGTTAGTGATTGTTTTTTCCATATCCTTAAAGAATGTTAATGGGGTCTGTATTGGGATTGCATTGAATGTATAGATTGCTTTGGGTGGAATTGACATTTTCACAGTGTTCATTCTGCCTGTCCATGAGTGTGAGATGTCCTTCCATTTACGTAGATCTCTTACAGTTTTTTGAAGTAGTCTTTTGTAATTTTCTTTGTACTGGTCATTTGTGTCCCTGGTAAGATTTATTCCCGAGTATTTTATTTTTTTGATAGCTATTGTAAATGGTACCAATTTCCTTATTTTTTTTTTTCAGCAATCTCTTTGCTGGTGCAGAGGAATCCAACTGAGTTTTGAATGTTGATCTCATATCCCGCCACTATGCTAAATCTCTCGATTAGTTCCAGTGATTTTCTTGCTGAGTCTCTTGGGTTTTCTATGTGTAGGATCATATCATCAGCAAATAGGGATAGTTTGACTTCTTCCTTACCAATTTGGATGCCTTTGATTTTCCTTTCTTGCCTTATTGCCGTGGCTAGGACTTCCAATACAGTGTTGAATAGAAGCAGAGATAGAGAACATCCTTGTCTGGTTCCTGTTTACAAGAGTAATAGTTTCAGTGTCTCTCCATTGAGAATAATGTTAGCTGTTGGTTTTGCATGTTTGCCCTTTGTTATATTGAACGATTTCCCTTCTGTTTCTATTTTGCTGAGAGTTTTGATCAGGAATCGGTGTTGAATTTTATCAAATGCCTTTTCTGTATCGATTGATATGATCAAGTGGTTCTTTTCCTTTATTTTACTTACGTGCTGGGTTACATTGATTGTTTTTCTAATATTGAACCATCCTGATATGAACCCCACTTGGTCATAATGTATTGTTTTTTTTAATATGTTGGAGTCTGTTGGCTAGTATTTTGTTGACGATTGAGGGATATTGGTCTGTAGTTTTCCTTTTTTGTGATGTCTTTGCCTGGTTTTGGTATCCAGGTTTTATGCTTGTTTCATACAATAAATTTGGAAGGAGTCTGTCCTTTTCTGTGTTCTGAACGTTTGAGTAGGATTGGTGTCAGTTCTTCTCTGAACATTTGGTAATATTCTGTGGTGAAACGTTCTAGGCCAGGACTTTTTTTTGTTGGTATGTGACCTGCTCAATTTCTTCTGTTCAACTTTTCCACCTCAGTGTGTGTTAGTTTAGTTAAGTAGTGTGTTTCTAGAAATCAGTCCATTTCTTCTACATTTTTAAATTTGTGGGAGTAAAGTTCTTCATTGTTGTTGTTGTTAGTTCTTCATAGTATCCTGATAATTATCTTTTTTATTTCAGTTGGTTCTGTTATGATGTCACCCAGTTTGTTTCTTGTTTATGTTATTTGTATTCCCTCCCTCTTTT